CACCTTTCCCAACTGGAGGCACCATGCAGAAGTAACAATTGCTGGTATGATCTGTTGGCTTTCTCCAAATCATTGGCACTGCAAAAGGCCTAGATTTCCTTTTCCTGTTCAACCACTGGCGAAGATTTGTTGCACAAGTGTTGCAGTATATGTGTGGGGCCCACCTCTTGTCCTGATCTCCAATTTTGCAGCCAGAATAAAGGCGACAGGCTTTCTTAACCATAGTGGTTATACTGCGCTTTTGTGATTCAAAAGTCACTTCACCACAAACATAGCAGAAGTTATCTGCACTGTTCACACAAGTACAAGGCATCTCTGCTCACTTTGGCTAAACAGAAATGCGTCCCTTTGCAAAATCAAACACTAACAAATAAGAGAGAACGACACTGTATGATTTCTAGAGCTGATATAGGGCACTTTGTTCAGCAGAGTGATGTAAGCTTTGTTATGATTGCATCATCCATGACTTCTAGGAATAACATGATGCAATTCATATCATGCATGACGCAATACCAGCTTCAGATTGCATCATTCATTGTTTTCCCTAAAAAGCAAGTACTGTCCAAACCCAGTCATAGATTTATTCCTAGATCCAGTCAAAGATGTATTTTAGTCATTTCTGGTTTAAATTGAGATCCCTTCCCTTTATGCATCCGAAGAAGTGAGGTTTTTACTCACGAAAGCTTATGCCTAAATAAATCTGTTAGTCTTTAAGGTGCCACCAGACTCCTTGTTGTCTTCCCTTTATAACTCACTTATCCTCTGCCATTCCCAAGTCAAGGGTTGTATATACTGACCCAATAGCATATCTTGAAAACTAGAGCCAATCAACAATTTTAAGCATCATTTTCGTTCTCAGTGACCCAGAATTAGTAAAGTTTGACTACATTTATTTCAGAAGCATTTTGGCTGTAGAGCAGTGTTGTTGGCCTATTACTCCTGAGCAAATTTTAAAGCCAATAACTTTTGAACCATTGCCAAATAAAGGCTCTGTTCTCTTGATGTCCTGTGCAAGCGCTAGAAAGAGAAGACCTAATCTCTTTTCTCAAAGCTAGATTCAAAATGTAGTCTCTCAATAAATAAATAAATGACAGACAACAGACTAAAAGCTCGATCTCTGTGAACAGAAAGGATGAGCTTTATTGTATGGGACTCTCAAAGCCTGAGTCACCCTACACTCCCCCTTCTTTAATAAAACAACTTCACAATTGAAACTGTCTGATATATAAATGCATGGTATCCTCCTGTGACTTGCATTTGTAGCTACCCTTTTCTAACAGCAACAGATTTTTTATTTCCAAACGGAGCTTAAAAAATAAATAAAATCACATTATAAGTACAAATCAGAATTCATCTGGAAACTGCCACTCTTTAGCATTAAGAGTGAGCTACCATGAATCACTGAGACTAGGTGATTTATAATGTGTGACTTTTGGGGGGGAAGAAGTTATTACTTGTTCACATATATAGCATGCAGCTATCTGGGTGTAGTATTAAGCCATTGCATCTAATCCAGGGGTTCTCAAAATGGGGGTTGAGACCCTCAGGGAGTCGTGAGCTTATTACATGGGGGGGTCGTGAGCTGTCAGCCTCAACCCCTAGCCCCGCTTTGCATCCAGCATTTATAATGGTGTTAAATATATAAAAATGTGTTTTTAATTTTTAAGGGGGGTTGCACTCAGAGGCTTGCTATGTGAAAGGGGTCACCGGTACAAAGGTTTGAGAGCCACTGCTCTAAACCATTACATTAAATTCTTAGTCTGAAGGCAGAAAAAGTGGCTCTCCGTTACACCAGTACAAAACCAGAGTAACTCTAGTGTAACTGAAAGCAGAATCTGGTCCCAAATGCCCATGGACATAAGGATCTGGTTCTTATTCTGTACTGCAGAGGAATACATTTTTAAAATATCCTTAATAGGCTCAGACTAGCCTCTTGAACCAGATTCCAGTTGACCAGCTGAAGTCAGAATAAACAAAACCAACATATTTTACATCTTCCAAATAGTTAGGGCTCCATGACTTCAATTGTAGTATATTACTTGATGATAAATGGTGCCATAAATGATACTGCAAGCTACAAAGTTGCAGAATAAATAAAAGCAGAATTCAGCAGAGTTCATTTTATTTTCTTTGAACCATTAACCAAGCGTTGCTATTATCTTCTCTAACAGAAACTGGTGATTACAAAGGGTTTGCATTTTCTACTGCTGAGCTGAATAGACAGATTAGAATGCTAACAGATTCTTTTTTTGGATGGAGAGAGCCTCATTCTGCTCTTCCCGGGGTAAATATCCTCATAGCTGTGAGATTGAACAGGGTACACAGGAGGATCACTTGACTGGGAACTGGGAAGAGGTTTCAAGAGCAGGTTTACTAACAATCTTAATCCACTGCAACACCAATCCATTTACATCCTTACGAAAGCAATGATGAAAGAAAACAAAATAAAAAATGGCACAGCTAAAATAATTTCATGATCTCCTACTATTCCTTTTTATGTACTTGTGACTATCACTTTAAATGATGGAGCATCTCAGCATTAGTAGTATAGTAAAAACATTGAAATAGAAGAGCTCTTTTGATTCATTCCACTTCTTTCTGGCATCAGGAGTACAGCTACTCCATTTTTGCTCTCTTTATTTTTAGCTGTTCTCAGGAATAAAAAAAAATAAAAATAAAAATAGAAAAACCATACAGGAATGAAATGACCAGAGGACCTGGTTTATCTCTGAAAAAAAAAATTTTGATTTGAAAAGACATATATCGTGATCTACTTAAGGAAGATACTTATTTCTGACATGTTGCTGACTAGGCTTCTAATACATATTTTGATATTTCACAATGAATTATGTCAAATTATCTGCACCACTACACAATGTAGTTTATTACATCAAATTATGGCAAGTCATATCACAAAAGAGTAGTTGTGAGAAACACACTATTTTGCATAATGGATGCTACATATCAATTAGAGCTGCATGGATATTAAAATACCCACTTCTGCCTTTAACCCAGTGCACTTGACTGTGACTGATAAACAGTCCCAAATTGTCACATCCAGAAGATAACCCTGTAGGAAGTTAATTATATGAAACAAATCACAGAAGTTTCTTAGTGTTGTAAAGTCAGTCACAGAAGTATTATCTTGTAGAGGCATTGTTTGAAGGAATGATGAATGTCATACATTTGGGTAAATAAATGCATGATAATCAAAATAATATCCTGTCTCTGAGAGTATATCTTGCATGATTACAGACACCTGCATCAAATTCTCCAGCAACAAACATGCGGGTGCAGGATCAGGCCACAATTCTCCAATAACATGGTGGATACTGAATCTCATCAAATAAATATATAGATTATGAATTTCTCATTTATGTATCAGGAGCAATAGCAGAAGTTATAACTAAGATAGCATCTGAATTTTCATGATAAACCCTTGCTTAAATTGCATAACTATCATTTGACATTTTTTTAATTTTAAAATTTCAAATTTTGACATGAAAAAATGATATCGGACTGATTTTTTTCCACATTTTTCAATTTCCTAAAACATTTATCTTTTAAGTTAAAATTTCTGAGGTTGGTCTCCGCCTGGAGGTAAAAAGTGAATACAGTTTTCCCATTTTATGCAGGAAAACTGTATTTACTTTTCAGTGTCCTTGGACTTAAAAATAGCTGAACTATTTTTGATCAGACTTTCCAGCAAATATATGTATAAACTTTCTTCCATTTCTTTAATATCTTTGGTGCCAAAATGGCTGTGGGTGGGGCACTGAAATTTTTCATACAAATAGCCCTAATTGCTCCTTGGCAAAAATTGATTTTGATTCGACTGAGTTGTGAGGGCTGGAAAAATGCTGTTGATACATGTGCAGTATATTTGGTATGAATTTTACCCCAGTTTTACAAATATTCTGAAGGAAATGAGGCTGAGTTGTACATGTTTATGTAAAAAGAACCGTACATCCCCTTGGCCGTACAGCAGTATCTTGAAAACTAGAGCCAATCAACAATTTTAAGCATCATTTTCGTTCTCAGTGACCCAGAATTAGTAAAGTTTGACTACATTTATTTCAGAAGCATTTTGGCTGTAGAGCAGTGTTGTTGGCCTATTACTCCTGAGCAAATTTTAAA